GAAACTTTTGCGCCTGTATAAAATTGTGTAGGCACTATTGGTTGGTTGGTTGCAGTGCTTCATAGTACTACTGTATTACAATAAGCGCGTTTTGCGCCATTTTGATGCACCGTCGTGGGAATGCTAAATACCAACCACATTCTCCTTGCCAGTCCAAGGAAATACAAAACTAATTTCTTTTTGAACGACTCCGAGGGAGCATCTCAGCGCAACAGCCTCAAACTATCAGCCTTCTCATTGCCTTCCATGAACCTTTGGCCGGAAACCGAGACAAGAGAGACGATTATTCACGCAGACACTGCGCGTAATTCCGTTTTATACTTCTGGACTAGCTGCGATTTGGTGATCGGTTATGTCAGTGCTAATAGAGCCGCTTGGCTGTCAGAGTATATTGTAGCTTTCTTAATTCTTCCGATACCTTCTCCTAGAACCATATAAGCTTCAAGGATGCCTAAGACTTCCGCTGGGAAGATGCTTGCCTCATTCCCGGACTGTAGAGACATGGAACGTCGCGTTTATTGGAGTATATACCTGTCCTACACCACAGTCCCTTTGTGCCATCGGTGTAGAGAGAGATTGCCTCTTTATCCGTCAGTCTGCATTTCCTCTACTCTCTTCTGGATGGGATTTTAGTCTGCATATTTTCGAAACTGAGGTCAGATACCATATAGTCGGTCTTTGTCCTATTTGTATTTCGATGATGCCCCTCCCGTACCTGAAATGGCGTGTTCGCCATAGTCCTGACTCTTTGAGTCTGACTGCAGATTTTATGGCCACTTATTTTAAGTGGAGACCAGTAGGAATCAAGTGTAAGATCATGTTTAAAGCTTCTTTCGGGCAGGACCTAAGTGCGTCCATTATTCCTGCCCCACTGCTCTTCGTAAGTACCTAGTTTATTTACATTACACTGTCTGTTTATGCCCGGCTACCAGACTAGTGCGCTGTAGATTAGGATAGGTCTCATGACAGCGGTATACATCCACATCACCAGTTTTGGTTTTAGTACCCAAATTCTGATGAAGATTTCTTGCCAGGTATAGTAGCATACTATGTAGGCTTTCTGTCTACAAAACTCGATGTTAATTTTCCAGTTCAGTTTGGTTTCAAGCCCGTCTCTCAAACACTTCTCGCTAGAAGATAGATTGAGCATCTTACCATCCAGCGCCGGTACTTTGAACTGGGCTATTTTATTCCTATTTATGAATAGCATAAGTTCGGTCTTAACAGCGCTCTTTCGAGTATTTCGCTTCCGGTTGAGAGAAAAGGAATCATCGGCATACGCCACAACTAGGCACTATTATACAAAATTAATTTTAATTTAGGTTTAATATTATATAGACGAGACCACACTCAGTGGTTTAACTTGGCCAAATATAGCCATATGGATATAGAAGCCAGATGTGCCACGAAAAATGCGATGTTACTATTGCAATTTCCAGCGGAGGTAGTACATCTACCTGAGATAAAACATTCCACAAAATATTTTATATCGTAGGTGGAAGAATAAATAAACTGAACAAAAAATCAGTGTAGTACAAAACCTTTGCGACCATTTGCACTATGCGAACGAATGATGCGGAAAAGATTTTCTGTTTGTAAACAAAATTAAATTTGGTATGAAAATGTAAACTAACATCACATTAGGCAGCTCATGATCGCATGGTGTGTTCCTGCATAACTACAAACGTAAACTTTTACTTAGATTATATGTCTAATCTATGTATTTATGTATGTATATATGTTTATAGTATGTATGTAAGTATATATTTATATAGATTTTTGTGTATGAAAAAATTTATTTCTTCTTATAGATTTGACCACCGATTGATTGCAAAAAATAATAAACTGAGAAGGCCAAACAGCAGCCAGAGCGAGGAGCCAGCAGGTGGGTGAGTGAGTACGAGGAAGAGGTCACTGTAGCGTTCAAGATCAAATTTGACGTAGTTATGTATGTATGTGTAGTGTGTATGCACGCTGATTTATCACAAGTAAATGGCAGGATTTAAAAAACAACATTTTTTTTTTTTTTTATATGATACATTTAAATTTGAAAATAATTACAAGAGAGAGCAAAAACCTCGGGCAAGCAATGCGTGTGCAGATACTTGTTGCAGAAAGTCCAAAAAATATAATAAAATTAATTTATGAATAGCAACAAATTTAATTTTTTTGGAGGTAAATCTAAATGAGACATGGCATGCAGAAGGAGAAAATGAAATTAAGTAGCATTGTTGTGACCAATAAGAGGGGCGAGAGAGATAGAGTGCTGGGGTGGGAGTAAAAGTCATTGAAATTGCTGCCGAAGTTCGAAATGTAAATGGCCAAAAACGCTTATGCTGTCATAATTGTGGTCGAAAAATTGGCAAACAATGCCAATGTACATATATATGTAAGTATGCATGTGTGTGAGGAGTACGCTACATATATACATACATAATCCCCGATTAACTGTGAACCGCGCGCATACCATGTCCGGGGAGATCACTTGAAAATCTGTCCAAGGTTTTTTTTTCACAAATAAAATAATAAAAATTTTGAATTCAAATGAAAATTAAAAATAAAAAAGCCACAACACTAAATACAGAAATACTTTGAATTTTCGCTAATGCGGCGAATCTGGCGGACTACAGCAGTATAGAGCAGAGCAGGGCGTACCTACCAGCTACTTGTTGTGGTGGGTGGAATGTAGAGAGCTTAGTATAGGTATATGTATGTATATATGTACGAGTAAGTACATATGTATGTATGTGAGTAGTTACGTACTACATAGTAAATAGATTCATATGTAGGTACTTATACATATACATAAGTATATACACAGTTATAGACGTACGAAATTTTGAGTGTGTTAGGTATTCGACTTTGTCTCCGAAAGCGTTGGCGAAAAGAGCTTTTTGCCACGATCATCAACGCTGCACACTCATACATGCAACTTTTGCAATTGTTTGTGTGCGTGGCCAATGCTGGCAAATTCACTTTCCACACACATATCGGCGAGTTTTTATATTTAAGAAGAATAAAAGGAATTCCGTTGATAAAACGAATGAAATTGGTGAAGCTGATTTTCAGCACTGAACAGTTTGAAAAAATTCTTCGTTGAGGATAGATCGCTATTTTTTAGTAGGAGTAAAGAAAAAAAAATGTAAGAAAATTTTGAGAAAAATATGTAAATATTAACTATACAGTAAGAGTAGGCGACAAAAATATGGGTAGAAAAAATCAAATATTTCAAAAAAGTGAAAAAAATTAATAAAATAAAAATAAAATTTTTTTAAATAAAAAAAAATTGTTTGTAGTGAAAACAAAAAGTAAAAAAGTAGTTAACAGCAAAAAAAATTAGATTAATTCTTGCTAACTTGTTTGCATTTTTTTCAACGAAACACGCACGCACGCAAACTTCGTTTAGAAGAATAAAATATTCAACAGGCGTTGAATAAAAAAATGAAAAAGCAGCGAAGTTGAATAAGTAAACAAACTCTTTGGTATTTTTTTAAATGGTGTAAAAGACAGAAACATATTCTACAAAGTGCCCCTACCAAATTTTCACCGAAATGCAAAAGCTAACTTTGAAATAAACAATATGCACTGAAAAAATTTTAAGAAAAAATTAATAAACTTAAATTCGAATTAAATGAAAAAATTATTACACAACACCAGCGAAATATCTACGAATTTTGAAGCTGCAATTTTCATATCAGCCGCAACAGCAAAAGTTTTCAAAAGCTAAAGCTACACGGAAAAATCGAAATGAAATATTTAAAAATTTTGTAGACTTGCCAAAAAATTGATGAGCGCTAACAACAACAATTCAACGCAAATTCAAGCACTATTCATAGCGGCTTAACACGGAAAGCAGCAAAGGAGGAGCAAAGTATTTTTCAATTTTTTGTGTGCTAAACATTTTTTCGTGCGAAAACCAGAAAAAACGAATAAAATTTTAAAAACAAAAATTATAGAAAAATTTTCAATTATGAAAAGGGTACTGCAATACAATAAAATCATCCGTTCGGGTGATCGAGCATCAAAAAGATCGACCTCTGCAAGTGGCCACAGCACACTCATGTATACCGTTACATACAAACATTATTTGTGTGTATAATTATTCTACTCAAAACGACCCACCGTTGGCGGCGCGCTGTGAAAATATTCAACTCAAGGACATTTAAAAATAACCGTAAATTTTAGCTGCCGCTACTCGCATAGCCGCTGCCACTGCGGCCCCATACAACAACTACATTAACCGCTAATACCACCGCTTATGTATGTATGTATGTCTGTATGTACGACAGCAACACAACCAACCACCAGCCAGAGGAGCATCATTATTACCAACACCTTCAACACTTAGCAAATAAACAATAATTTCCGCGAGCGTTTTTTCAACACGTACGCTGAGGAAAATAAGCTTTTTTGCTATTGTTGTTTTTGTTGTTATTCTTGCTGTTGCCCACCACCCTCGCTTGCCGCCCCACGAGTGTAGCTCCTCAGGCGCTCTCACTGCGACGCTCAACGAACTGCACACAAAAAAATATTTTGTTGCGCGTGTAGCATAACTTTTCTTCGTGTGTATGTGTGTGTGTGTATGTATGCAAGCGCGAAATTGACGAAACATTTTTGAAAAGTGTGAACATTCATTTCATTATACGTGAAATTATATTTTTAGTATTCGGTGATCTTGTCGTCTTTGCGAACGTCGACAATTTTCTGCGTGTTTTTTTTTCTTAGCCGAAAAAACTGGAGCAGAATTACAGACAAATAAACAAGCAGACAGCAAAGAACTTAGCATAAAAAAAGTAAAATTTTTTATATATTAATTTGAAGTTTCAAACTTGACACAAAAAAGCGGTGAAGTGAGAAAAGTTAATTACGACTAATTTAGAGCGTGGAAGTGTAGTGATTGGGAACCATGATTGAACTATTAATTAAAGAAAAAACTTAAAAAATATTTGTAAATTTTTTTTTGGTTTAATAAGTTTGATTTATTTTAAAATTTAAAATTATTTCATATCCATAACATCCATCCACTTTAATTGTCGTTTTTAATTTATCTCTCTCTTCCTTTGCTTTTTTTATTCATTGCAGCGAACGAGATATTTGACATCGAACCTCAAAAATCTTAAAAATATATAAATTAGATTTCTTGTTCTGTTACAAGCAACAGCAAATCTATCAAAATGTTTAAAAACCATTTGGAAATGATTGGTCGCAATGAGACCCCCAGCAAGAAGGCGAAATTCTGGCAATCTTACATCAGATCCCTGAAGGGTAAGTTTATGTAGCAAAATTGGAATTGAGGAAGTTTAACAAAAATGTATGCACATATCGATTGCTGAGTGGAAGATGGACCTATCTCGGCAAACAGTTCGAAAACGCGCTATTTCAAAAAACTTTTCAAGAATGCCCTGATTCAAAATTTTATAGATTTAATAAATAAATAAATAAATAAACTGGCTGCCGAGATAGGTCGGTCTTCCACTCAGCAGTCGATATACAATCATACACATATGTATATCAAAACACAGAATAATAGAAAGTCATATTAGATGACAATACCTAATAATCTACTTAATTCTTACATTTAACAAAAAAAAAATACTTTTAGCAGCGCTATTCTTTCAATTGTTGTCTTTTTTATTAAAACCTATAATTAATTTAATGTTTTAAAGCCGTCTGAAATTTATTCGGAGTCTAGCAAGCAGTGTTGCCATTTCAAATAAATTGTTCATATAAAATTTATTCGTAAAAGCTACCCAAACGGTTATTAGCCTAGCAAACACAATTTTGGCGCTAGATATAATCAAATAAGGTAAAAATAACCAACCATATGTTGAGAAAAAACATATTTAGTTATCGTAACTGAACTGTTTTCTCAGTGTAGTATGGGACAAACCTTGAAGTGCCACCTTTCCGACAAAAAAGAAAAACAAAAATATCGGAAACGGTTCACGTAGTCCAAAGTTACCGGATAAAAAAAATATTCCAGATAATTGATAACCTCCACTTTTCCTGAAGTCTATGCTTTTACCCAGCAGAGATTCAAAAGATCATGGTAGGCGGGTGCAATCACAAGTAATGTGTTCTCTTGAGACAATCGCCTTTTAAGACAAAACCCGCATTCTGGCTTTGTTGTCAGAAAATGTTTGGCACTTAGCACTAAATAGGTTAATAAAATAATGGGTGCATTCATACGCTTCCCTCAACTCTGTTAAACTGTGCTAGCAATAAGCTCGTCTTCCTCAGTAAAATTGTTTGGCAACGTCAAATTAGATCCTTATAACGATAGCAGACACCTGCTGGACCAGTGTCTTCTTACAAAGTCCGTTTCGGAATTCTCCCAAATAAAATTTAGTTTTCATTGCTGAACAGAACAGAACACGATTGCTAGAATTCTAACTCAAAATATAGAAAAATAATAATTAGAAAGTTGCACCTGTTTGAAAATTTCAGTTTGAGCAAATTGATAAGAGAAAGTAAATATTGCAATATGGCTATCGAAAGAAAGAGGTTTAAGAAGGCTTTCAGCTGAAATATTTTTGCGTAAGGTGGCCACCTGTTTGAAATTTGTAATTTAATTTAATTGATTAGATAAATAAAATATTGGAATATGGGTGTCGAGCTAAAGTGGTTAAGGAAAGTTTACTACCGAAAATATTTTTAGGAGGGTTGCCACCTATTTGAAATTTTTTATTCTATATGGGTATCAAACTAAAGATATTTAAGAATGTTTAATGACGAAAGTATTTTTGAAGCGATATTTGCTTATAAACACGTTTGGTTGATGTAACCCCGAAGTCGTAAAAACTCCAAATATAGGCCAGTGGAGCCCAAAAGTAATTCGACTTACTTATCTATGATAGCAAAAAGCAACATGCCGGCAATTTTCTGATCTAAACTAAAAAACAATCCAACTGGCACCAGAGCTTTATTGCCCCAACCACTTATTTTTTATCTCTTCGAACTTTACCAATTTTATCCAACAATTGATAATCTGCAACATTGATTGAGGTTGTAGTTCTTGGTGTCATCCTTTTCCAACCAGAAAACTGTCCAGCGTCTATTTAGAATCCAAGTTCATTATCGTTCCCGGCCGGTTCTCCACTTTACTTTACTTCTTATTTCTGAGAAGTTTTATATAAGTACTTTCCCCGGATACACAGTTCAATAGCATTCAATAGTTTTTTTTTTTTGCAACAAAAACATGCTCACATAGGATTAGATAACATAAGGCCTTCTACATACCTACAACATCAACAAAAATAAATAGAACTGAAGAATTTATTTTGGGGCGCCATCAAACAATTTTTCGTCTATGAGTGCTTTTATATTCGTTCATATACATACATGCAAACACAAATGTGTATTCTTGTACACAAACCATGTACATTTGATCTGTTGCTCGAAATAACGTCGTTATGCATATGTTTAGCGCGCGATCGGAATGCCTGTTGAAAATTAAAAAAAAAAAAAAATTGTTTTATTATAAAATTTTACGTTCACTAGCATACACTGACATACCGTTGATAGAGCTAAAAGATGAACTAAAAGCAACCAATTCGTGCTATTTTCGAAACTGCAAACCAACCCAGTCCGCTGGCAAACAGAATGTATTTTTTGTTTTACTGACTATTTAGTAAAATACATAGAAATTTTCTACATATGTATGTATGTGTATATTTTCCACATCCTAAAGTCATAAAACAATATTCCGCACAAAAAAGAACATGAGCACGAAAAGCGATAAAACAGATAGAAACACGAAAATTTTAATGAAGAAAAAAATCCTCAAAAGCAGCCAAAAACTATCACTTCTGCGAAGATATGCGTTGGGATTTATGTGAATGGCCAACAAAAATTTGGCCAATAGCCAAAATTGAAAAAGTGGCGAATAAACAGACAGAGAGAGAGAGAGAGCGAGACAAAAAAAATTAAGGAATCTGTAGGCGCGCTGGAATGCAAAATTGCCGATACGAAAATTGAAATTTATTTTAGTATACAAACCAATTTATTGTCAATACTTTACGTGCTAAATGTTGCAGAAATAAGCCAAGAACTTTACATTAATGTAACCAAAAAAAAAAAAAAAACACAGAAATCGGCAACTGCAATTCTAAATGCACAAGCGTACATAAAATGCAAAAAAAAAATTCTAGAGTAGTGCTAAATCTGGGAGCGATAGAATGCTCAGCACTTGCATGCCGCAGGCAGAGGATGCACTCACATGGCTGGCGAGTTTTGCTTTATATCTCTAATTTTAAGAGATTTTAGTGCTACGAAAATTTCGTAAATTTTTTTGAGCTCAATTAATTTGGGTTGCTGCGTATATGCATTTGTATGAGATTGATATTTATATACCTGGTGGACCACCAGCGCATTTTGGGGCAGATATGAATAAATATGTATTCTATGAATAAATATAGTTGGACCTTGACCTGCTTGCGGAGACTGAATACTGAATAACTATATGTGCAGAAGAAGTATTGGGACTAAAATTAGAGTTGCTTGGAAGTTTGAGGGGAGAATTTTCCTACTTAAAATAGCACCTTAAGTAGGAGTTTAGAATTTTGAAAACAACATACACTTTAATTAATAACAAAGCATACATACAGCTGCGGGCAATAAAATAGTACCAGAAATTCAAAATGATATTGTTAGCAATTTGGATATGTATATTTATTAATTTTTAAATTTTTTTGACGAGAAAAATACTCAGTACCTTCTCCAAAAAGAATTCAAAAATAGCAATGGTAATTTTTAGCGAAAACTTTTTGAAGTTTGAAGAATTTTTGTAAAGTTTGTGCAGGCTCTGTTTCTGTTTTAGATCGATCTACACTTTTAATGAAATTTATTAGAAATCGATAAATAAATACAAGTTGCTAACAACATCGTTTTTGAATTTTGCTACTATATTATTGCACGCTGCTGTACATGCACAGTATTTTTTTCCTTTTAAAAAATAAAATTCAACGATTCTTATTTTTTTTCCTAGTGTAAACAGGCATTATATCTTTTATGACTCCACATCTTATCACTTCTCTTCGTCGTTGTTTTTTTTTCTCTTCCTCAGGTTCCGAAGATATCCGTGCCCATGAGACTCCACGCGCCAGCCGCCCATACAGCTCGTACTTGGACTCACCAGCCACATACAGGAGCATCTTCGATACGCCAGCCACTGCCAATGAGCGTGTGCAATCGCATGGCTACAGATACTTGCCTGTGAGCAGAGACACTTATGGCTATTCGCCACGTGCCATCTATGATCATCATTACAGCAGAACAAGTAAGTGTTTGCGGGAAAGTTGACCCGAGCAGTTCACAAAAAAAAAAAAACAAAACAAAAAAGAAAAAAGAAATCAGCAGTTAGGGATGTGCATTAGAGAAACTTTATTTTCGAGGACACAGTTTATTAAAACAAATCGGAAAATAAACTGATGTAGTAATTTTCAACGAAGTTGATTTTAACAAATTAAATTAAAAAAACACGATTTTTTTTCTTTAAATAAATAATCGATAGTTGTAAAGTTATCGATTTCTTAAAATTGTTAAAGCACTGCGTTTTATTATGTTTGGTAAAATTAATTTTTTTTTTAATAAATCACAAACTAAGACTTAAACATATCGATGGTCCTCTGCAATAACGAGACAATACAAAATTAAAAAAAATAAATTCACCTACTATTTTTAGTGGCTCATGCCTAATACTTACCTTTATTAATAATTATATTCGTTGATTAAAGGACGTTTTACTTTTGTCTTTTGACAAACATTTCCTTTCCGCGAAATGCGGACTTATTTTTTTTGATAATTTAAACTAAAAATTTGTCTACAGTTTAAAAAATTTTGAGTTTTTAATTTTCTTGTCACTTTAAGATTACCATTTCATATTGAGTTGAAATAAATACGTAAATATATAAGAGTCAAACAGTAAATCGAGCGTAAAAAATCGATATCGATAATTCATAATGAGGAAATTGTTATAAAGTTTTTTGGAGAAGGCAAAGTTTTTGTAACTGTTTTTATTACACAAAAAAAATTATTGGTTCATAATTATCGATAGGCCATAATCGATAATTTAGAATAGTTTTATCGATGTTATTTGATAAAATGTCTTCTTCTAAAGCGTAAATTATTTGTGCACGGAATGTAGATTTTGTATTTCGAGAAACTATTCTAAATTTTTTTCGATATCCTAAAAAATATTTTGCTTTAAATTTGCATACCTGACCCCAATTGACTGACCGACAGCTTTGAATTGCAATAGAAATGAATCGATGAGTAGATAAAAGTGCTCCGATGAATAGAAAACAAACGATAAATTGATAAAAGTCGATAAAAAAGTTTAAAATAATTCTGCACAAAAATCAAAGATTTATCGACCAAAGATTTATCGATAAATATATAAAAGATATACGAAGAATCGATAATTTATTTTTTTTTATAGAGTTTTTTTGTTAAACAATTTTTCATTGATTTTAAAAAAAGTAAACGATACAGATTAACACCCAAATTCAAAAAAAGAAGACTTAAGCTGCTTTACAAATGGAAAATTTGTCTAAAAATGTCACTTTATAAAGCTCTATAAAGTTATTTTATTTTTTATTAATAAGATCATTATTTTTATGAAAAGTTAGAATTGTAAAATTGAAAAAAAAATGTGTCCCATATTTTTTTAGTTGCACATCCCTAATTCGCTCATTTTCAAAATTTTCTGTTCAAAAGCAGCTGCTGTTTTACATTAATAAACATTTCAACACCTTTAATATGCTTATTTTAAAAATAAAAATAATTATATGTAATTAATAATAATTTTCATTGCCAATTTACTCATCATCAACAAGTCGAATAGGCGAATTCATAGCACTCTTAGACTGCTGCAATCATAGTTCCCCAGCGGCATCACAGCGCATACCTAATCGTACATATTACATGTGTATATTTCGTGCGAATTTTCACTGCCATAAGTATTCACTCTATGTCAAGCATACCCGCGTCATTTAAAAAAAAAATAAAAAAATAAAAAATAAAAATTGTAGGTACATTTGATTTTTGCTACCACTGTAGTGCTCAACCACTCATCGTTCAGCGCATTGTCAATGGTAAAATACATATATAATTATATTTGTATAAGTACATACATACATATATATAGATATATTATATAGAAACGTATGTATGTACATATATATATATATATNCGCTTCTTTGAGTATAAAAGGATATAGATATAGGAAAAAAAAAAAAAAAAAAAAAAAAATTAAAAGGAAAAACAAATAAAAATCAGGGAAATTTAAATAAATAGCAAAATTTTAAAAGAAAACAAAAATACAGTCACAGGCGAGTTTTGCGCGCTGCCAAAGGAAGTCAATTCACAATCGGCTATTCGTCGTTTCCAAATGATTTAATTTTTATAAAAATAGCATCAATAGCAAATTACGTCAATGTAGTGTAAGCGTATGTGGGTGTGTGTGTGCTTTTTGTGTTTTTTTTTGTCTTTCAGTTTAAAGTATTAAATATTACTCAACCATTGAGAATGTTGCATTTTTAGGCACTGCGTAGCCACGATAATGGGGATTATTATGAATTGGATGGTTTTTTCGGAGAAAGCATAATCTATTGCAATTTGTATGAGTAAAAAGGAACTTTGCCCTTCTTGAATTATTCATTTCAAAAATTTTCTAGTTCATTTTAATTTTCTTTATATGTAGTCTATTTGATTATTGTTCCTGCTCTGGCATTAAGCTTTTTTTTACCAAGCAAGTTCAATATGTAGTATATATAAACCTACGCCTTCAAATGCCCACAACGAAGAATAATGAAGAGCAGCAGCCATTTTCCATGATCATCACTACGATGTAGCTAATTTTTCTCTAATATTTAACACATATGTATCTACATATATCAGTTGTATATACACATATGTATGTTTGTGAATACACACAAACAATTTTTTGTTTTTGTCTGTCATACACAAGCATCACTTTATATATGTAAGTGCATACTTAGCAAGTATGTATGTATGTATGTATATGTAAGCCTTTTTTCATGGCTCTTGGCAAAATTTCCTCTTCATTTTTGATATCAAATAACCGGCAGCAAGCGTACACACGCCTACGCTTGCTTCTTTTGCCAATAATATTTATGTTGTGGATGTGTTGTATATGTTTTAGTATACTAAATACTAACTTTGAATGCCCATACATGCCCATACATGCACATACACCAGGCGACAAATGAAAGTGCACAACTTGTTCTAATATTTTATTCACAATTATTTTCATGAAAAATTTTTTGTATTAATTACTTATAAAAATGTAGTTCATTCTATAATAATAACCATATAAATCAAAGTTTCACACTTTATATAAAGCTCTCAAAAAATCAAAAAGTTTTCATCAAATTTGTCAACTTTTTACTCAGAATTTCTAGAAAATTCTCGTGTATGCAGTTTTGCAGCCCATTAAATTTTTCTCTAATGAAGCGCAAGTTTCAAAAGGCTAAAAAATCTCGTTGACATTTGAGATTTTTTTTCCATATAAGTACGAATTTCTTATGAAATAAAATACGGGAGGCCGTTGGTAACAAAATTTCAAAAAATCACCGCCAGTTTTTATAAATTGCACTAGTTATATATAAAAAACGCAAAAGCAGTCTAAAAAAAAAATCTCAAAAATGAACGCGATTTTGTAGCCGGTTGAAACTTCCATTTCATCACACTAAAATTGTAAAAGTGTGAAACTTTGATTTATACGGTTTATATTATAGAAAGAACTATGTTCCCATAACTAATTCATGCAAAAATTTTTTCATGAAAATAATTGTGAATATTACATTGGAACAAGGTGTGTACTTTCATCTGTCGCCTAGTGTATTTATGTACATAAATATCATCCACATGCTGATGCTGCGTCTTATCTCTACAGGAAAATAAAAAAGTAGCCCTGCTTCTGTTTGGAAAGAGTAGATTTGTGTGCGCTTAATTTAAAATGTGTGCACATGATTAAGTAAGCCTTTTGATGGATGTTATACTTTTTTAACATGACCTTTTATAAAGAGCTTACAACAAAATAAAATTTTCCAAAGCAGTCCTTGGTCCAGGTTGGTGGTAAAAGGCACATATACTACCACTTAGTAGGTGTGTGCGGTCGGCGGCATAGCTAAAGGATAGAAAGATGATCGGGTCTTCTGGCCGCATAATCACACTCCCGTAAAAAGCTTCTCAAGAAACACGCCACAAATTTGAGGAAAAGCACTCAGCACTTAGCTCAGAATTGGTCTATCACATCAGGTTGCTTAAATATTCTAACCTAAAAATGCGAAAAATTTCGGTTTGGCCTTTTTACTGGGTTATTTGGAATCACGAAGTATATTTTCTGTCCCTTCAAATACCATTCAGTTTCCTTGAATACCTTATTTTTCAACAGTAAAATTTTGTTTTTAGAATTTCACACTACTACGGTTAATTTTTTCCAAGGCTGTTAGAAAGTGTAAAATAGTCAATTCAAATTTCTTGATGCAAAAAAAGTTGCCTTAATACCAGCGACATTTCTAAGGCATAAAAAAGCTTATTTTCCTAAAGCTCAAGCTCGATTCCATAGTTAGGTAATTTTGACATTCACAAAGTTTTTTTTCAGCGAAGGAGTGTGCTGCGTGTGTGAAAATTTCCCTTTATGAAATTTATGCGTATGCACTTCTCAAATGTTATATAATAAAGCTCAAAACAAAGCGAAATATAATCCCAGTCGTACTTGCCTTTAAGTCGTCAAAACACGCCTACAATATTTTGCCTTACATTTTTTCCCAATTCAGGCTTTTTATTGGACAATGAAATTTTGCGCAAAAAAAAAAGTAACAAAATGTGTCTTATTTTTCTTCTTCACATATTTTTTCCACAAAAAACACAAAACCCCAGAGCCCGTATAAATGTCTTCTCGCAGCTCAAGAATAAAATTAAAATTTAAAAAGAATTTCTTTCGTGTAATTTCTTGAGAGATTTCTTTCGAATAACGGGTTAACTAAGTATTAACTTTGATTATTTTGTTTGCGTATGCACTTCTCAAATGTTATATAATAAAGCTCAAAACAAAGCGAAATATAATCCCAGTCGTACTTGCCTTTAAATCGTCAAAACACGCCTACAATATTTTGCCTTACATTTTTTCCCAATTCAGGCTTTTTATTGGACAATGAAATTTTGCGCAAAAAAAAAAGTAACAAAATGTGTCTTATTTTTCTTCTTCACATATTTTTTCCACAAAAAACACAAAACCCCAGAGCCCGTATAAATGTCTTCTCGCAGCTCAAGAATAAAATTAAAATTTAAAAAGAATTTCTTTCGTGTAATTTCTTGAGAGATTTCTTTCGAATAACGGGTTAACTAAGTATTAACTTTAATTATTTTGTTTGCGTATGCACTTCTCAAATGTTATATAATAAAGCTCAAAACAAAGCGAAATATAATCCCAGTCGTACTTGCCTTTAAATCGTCAAAACACGCCTACAATATTTTGCCTTACATTTTTTCCCAATTCAGGCTTTTTATTGGACAATGAAATTTTGCGCAAAAAAAAAAGTAACAAAATGTGTCTTATTTTTCTTCTTCACATATTTTTTCCACAAAAAACACAAAACCCCAGAGCCCGTATAAATGTCTTCTCGCAGCTCAAGAATAAAATTAAAATTTAAAAAGAATTTCTTTCGTGTAATTTCTTGAGAGATTTCTTTCGAATAACGGGTTAACTAAGTATTAACTTTAATTATTTTGTTCAAATATCTTCACAACTGGTGCTGGTGTATTAAGGCACAAACAGCAGATCGGTTCATGAAAAATATCTCAAATATATATGTACACACATAGATACATGTTCCTACTCGTTTTTGTATACAATTTTGTGTATTTGAAACCGCTGAATAAATGTGTATAACGGGGATTTGAAATAAATAATTTTTGAAATTCATACACGTGTTTGTTAGTTGGTCAATTCATAATTTTAAATGTTTAACGGTTAATTGTTTTATTGTTCTTAATAAAGTGTTGCATGCAAAAGTTAAATAGTTACACTGGTTAGTTTTTATTAGTATTTCATTGAGTATTAGTAGACGGACATACATATGTGCGTACTTAGTATGTACTTAAACACGAATACATACTTTAGATTCAGCAAATTTCTACTGCAACAGCAGCTGCTAATCAGACAGCAGGCTACTACAGCGAGTTTGCACTGCGTACAGGTACTGATCAATTTTTTTTTTAATGTTTACAATATAAACTGTTTTTTTTTGTTGTTATTTTTGTTATACGTTGGCCCCTTTTCCTGATAAAGGTATTCTCTGAAATTTCATTTTGATTTGCGAAACCTCGATTTATATAAATTAATGAAAAAGACTTATTGTTTGCTGAAATTTTATCTTGTTTTTCAAAAAGTTCGTTAAAATTTTGAGCCGTTTGAAATCCGTTTATACGACCAATATTTATTCATGCATACCCATATTCATGCATTCAGCTTCATACAACTTTTCGCATTTATGTACCTGCATACCAAAATTTTTGTTTCATTTGCATTTCGAACAACTTTTTACTTGTTCATGTTATGCTCACATCTGTGTGGCCAATTTCGGCGATAGTAGCAAACATTAATTTAATAATAATAAAAAATTTCACCAAAAATTACATTTATAAAACTAACAAATGAAATCTGAAGCGATTTATCCACTTTAAATTATTTAATTTTATATATTTTTTATTTAATTTTATTTTATTTTTAAATGTTTATTTTATTAAAATTTAATATTTTTTAATTTTATTTAATTATATTTAATTTTGTTTATTTTTTGTTTTTTAATCTTATTTGAATTTATTTCTTTTTGTTAAATTTAATTAAATTTAATTTTACAGAAATTAGTTTAATCTATGTTTATTTGATTTCATTTCATTTTTTAATTTTATCTGATTTCATTTTGTTTTGTTTCATTTTATTTTCTTTTATTTCCTTCAAATTTTATTTTGTCTTATTTTTGTTTATTTATTCTATTTAATTCTATATTTTTATTCATTTTATTTTATTATGTTTAAATTATAAACGTTGATATATGTATAAATATAATAATAAAATAACTTTATTTTGTTAGTGTTTTCTATTTATTTTACTTTATTTTATTTTTATTGTGCTGCCCCTGGTGGCAACCACTCCTAATTTCCTCCTGCCTACCTTATTAATTAATTTAGTTTAACTGTTTAGTTAGTTTATTTTCCTTAATTTTTGTAATGTTTTATTTAAAATTTAATTTTATTTCAATAATTTTTTAATCTTTAATGAAATTATTTTTGTTTTATTTTAGTTTAATCTTGTAATAACTTTTAATTTTATTTGGATATTTTTTTTTAGTTTGTTATTATTATAATAATTTTTTATTCTGCTCTTATTTTTTAATTTTATTGTGATAATTTTTCAATTTCTTATTTTATTCAAAATATTTTGTGATTTTATTTTATTTCATTTAAATTTGTAATAGTTTTTTTTTATTTTTTTATTTGAATTTGCGATTTCTCAAGTAATTTCAATTACAGTTTTTTAACTTTTATTTTATATATAACATCATAATCATATATTAGCTGTTTCGAAAAAACAGGAAATTAACCTAAACAATCTTTATATATTTTTTCTTTTATTACCATAAATCTCGGCGCTTTCTAACGCTTCTTCAATACCGCAAACGCTTCTCTGCTTTTTGTATATCGTATGTATTGCTTTGGAAATTGCCTACTTTCGAATTTTTGAGCCTAAATGCTTTATTATCTTCACTGTAAGCTATACTTCTTAGATTTGCAATTTTTTTAAATATTTTTTTATATTAATTCAATACCTTCTTCTGGTTCTAGTTCCAGCCAACTACGACGCAGAGAGGGCTTGGAATGATCACTTGAAGCGCATGCAAGAAATTGAACGCAGGTGAGTGAGAATAAAATTAAAAACACTTGAACACTTCTATGTTTAAAATTTCTCGCGACTCCATGACACTTTACTAAAATAGTATCTATTCCAAGAACTTTTTGGGGTAAAAAAAAATCAGAATAGAAGAGCTCTGAATAATTTTTTCTAAGTCAGACTAGGCGGTTGTTCCCGGTTGGGGTTATATGTATTTGTACATAAGTGAGGTCAAATTAAGGTTGTGATATTACGCAATTGTAAACGGTGACCACGAATATACGATTGCTATTATTTATACCCGGGAATTGCGATTGAAGAAGAATTTGCAAGTCAAGATATTTCAGTCTTAGACTCGGAAAAGCCGGACAGCATAGGATAAATTGTTGAGTTGATTCCACCCGAGATGTGATTTTATGTCTTAATGCGTGAGCCATGATTGCACGGTTACCTGTGAGTACCCCTATTAATAACCAGAGCCGCTTAGGCGTCTATATTTAGTCACCAGGTTTAGGTTGCATTAGGTCAGCTGATAAAAAGCTTCCAGAAATTTATATTGAACTATTAGTGAGATTTTTTCCCCAAACTCTTATTTCTTGAAAATCAGCGAAGAAGATCTTCATACCAATTAAAATTTCCGGACTTTACATAAAACATTTCTGCAGGAAACTAGATAGTACCTACCTTAGTACCATAGTACCTTTTTGAGCACCTGATCTCCTGGGCTCCTGGTATTTACACAAGCCCGAGATTATTGCTTATAGGTGGGGAATCTTCCCTTAGTTTTTGATGGTTTTCCATATTCCTAAGGATCGTTTGATATTTACTACAGATTTTAATCTGTTGCACTTGCAGCCCAATCCGATTGTATATTTCCCTACACAATGGATCGCAAATAAACAAAAGCAAAGCACTTAAAGATGATTCTGAGTTTAAAAGAACGCGCCGATTATGCTTATATTTATAACCATAAATCGCTACCAAAATACATAGTTAAATAACCTCAACTAAATTCTTTCTCTAGATACCCATCTCGTTATGGTCTCTACCTGAAGGACAAGCCATACACACCAAACGCTTTGGTGCCTTTGGAATACGAGCCAGAAGATAAGCTGCTCCAAGAACTCAACAAGGGTAAGGAATTCTAAATTTTAAGTAAAAAAAAAAAATAAAAATAAAAAAAAAATCAACAACAAAAATAAATATTCTACTAAAATAACAACGACAACAAAGCGTAACAAAATACACAACAGTAAATAAAATTTCTAAGTAAACCGAACAAAGAAAAAGAAAAGAAAAAAATATGCAAAGAAGGAAAAAACGAAGAATTGATAGATAATTACAAGCATTGTAAACACGAGCAAGAAATTTTTTAGTGAAAAACAAAAACAGCAAAAAAATAGCATATCCTCCACAATGAAGAGAATTTTTTCAAATTCACCAAACAATAAACTATACAAATGTATATTTAACATCTTACAAAAAAAAAAGTTAGCTCACTCAACTAAAATTGGAAAGTTCTTATTAGAGATATGTTTGTATGAAAATAATGCGAAATTTTTATATGGAAAATTTTTGTGTCGAGTGAGCGGACAGCAGCCAACAAAACACACAACTTAAAACCACTACCAATTGGCGTTTCGTGTACAGATTTGTGTTTTGTAAATGTCACTTTTGCCGCCTAATGCACATCGAATTTTTGCAAATTGATTTTTTCATAAAATATGTATGTTTTTTTTGTTTTTGACTATATTTGCAGCACGAAAAATTTGAGCAAATAGCCATTGTTTGCTAGCAAATCTACACAACTGCACAAAAGTTCGTTTATAGAAATGCTACTAAATGCCAACACGTAAAAACAATTTTAATTTAAAGTATTTATGGCAAAAAAAAAAAAGGAAAACCTTTTTCTGCCTGTAAATGTTGAGATAACAAATACATATACACATATCTCTTAATAAACATATACAAACATATAAAGTAAGTTAGTAGAACAAAAACAAAAAAAAACACTTGTTGAAACCAAGGAGCTTAAAACTAGAGTTGAGTGAAGAAGCATAAGCAAATGAAAGTAAATGAAATGCGAAAATCGCAGAATAGAGCACAAATTCGTTAAATGTTTCATTGTATTTAACGTCACATAAAATATGTTTACTTTTAATTTTAAAGAATAAATACTGAACAAAAATAAATAAATAAATTCTTATCTTACATTTAGTTATTTACATAGCTATGTTGCAGAAGGAAGAGAGAAAAAACTGATTAAAAGCTTCATTACAATTTAAAACAAAAAGTAGAACACACACAAGAAATAAGTCGTTTTTATTCAATGAATTCTAAATAAAGATTAATACATATTAATCAAAATAACAACAACTAAACACAGTAACAGTATACATTAATTCTGAATGCTGGGCTTCAAGAGAAATACAAAAATAATTGTAAAAAAAGCTAAAAAAGAGAGAAATAGCGCGAGCAGCTAATAGGATTTAGGCACAATCTGCTAGAAAGAGCTTTCGGTAGTTGAAGCTTAAAAGTTTGCTCTTTCAACAAGGACCAACTAGCTTTACGTGCTTTCAATCAATCATTAAAAGCTAAAAAAAACTTTAAAACCCTGAGAGAGCTTTCATCATAAGCCCCTCTATACCAGTTAACACCAATGCATAAAGCACAGGCGGAGTTTTTCGAAGCCTTATAATGCGCGAGCACAGTATAAAAGCTCTCTTAGCTTGCCGTTTACATTGTTAAAGCTTTTATAACGTTTAGCCAACTAAAAAGAAGCTGCAAAGCTCATTTTGTTCTAACACAATAAAATTTTGTATATCAAATAGTTCCAATGTGATTCCTACTTGCGCTTTATAAGCTTAAATACTTTAAATTTTATACTGTGTTGACCCGAGCGCGGTTCTAAGTGTTCCGTGGCAGAAATATAGCCTAAAGAAAGCTTACGAAAACTGGGCACGGATAATCAGCTGTGCTTTAAATCGTTGGTTGGCCAAAGGCAGAGCTTTATTTAGCTTTCTATGCTTAATAGACATTCAATGAGTAAAAGCTCTTTTCTTTTCTACCCATTACGGCTATAAACTTTTTGTTCTATCAGTTATCCAGTAATGCATTTCTTAAGCTCTTTTTGTGGCTTTATATCGAGCTTTATATGGGGATTCCACACTCTCATCAGTGTTCTCTTGAAGCCCTCAATTCAAACTGTCATACATAAATTCATTATCGTTACTAAATTATTATTAATTATAAGCTACTTACATGATAA